GGTTGTTTACACTAATGTGTCGACAGTGACAAGAGCTACCAACTAATGCAGTTATTGTTGAATGAAAGGCCAAGTCTGACTGGATAAAAGAACCTGATATTAGAACTGTTTGCGAACCAAATACCCGACACGCCAGGTTCATGTAAATCTTCACTTTGATAGAATAGAAAACAAAATAAAAGTACACTTTCCAGTTGACAGTTTAAGAGACTAAATATTGAAGCTATTTAACTAGCCGATATGTGCTTTCGCTTTTGCATAGATTCTTTTTCTATCTTTTGTAATGAAAACGTTACTTTGGTGTAGGAACAGATCCATAAATATCCAAATGTGGACAATTTCTTTCATGATAACGTTCTATATCACGATTGGAAATGTACAAAAACAACATTTATTTACGCGCAGCTGTAATCACTCCAATGACAAAGAAATTGCAAATCTGTGCTTTTTGTTCTGTGCAAGACTCCATTAACAAAACACACATATTGACATTTACCGCATATAAAACCCATGATCTGTAGTTTATGTCAAGCAATGGCCGGTGGAGAATAAGCTTTCAATGCGCTTATTCAAACACATTCAGTACGAGGAGTTACATGAGTCAAATCGTCCACATTGCACCATGCCGTATCGCATACCTTGCGCCAATTCTGACATGGTCTCCATGTGGCTTTCTGCTACTTTCTGTCATGTTTGGATAAGTTATTCCCATGCAGCGTTGTGCCATGTAGTGTCATGTTCTGCTTATTGGCATACAACTTCTTTACAATATTTGTGCTCATTGCCACAATATTTCCTTGTGTCATGATTGTAGTGTTCTCACAATTGTAGCTTTGTGTCATACATTGTGGTGTTCTGGCAATTGTTACATGATTTCCATGTAGCATTATGTCTTATCTTCTCACGTGCTTGTTAATTATAAAAAGTATGTTTTACTGTACCACTTACGTCATTAAAGTTTGGGACAATCTTTTTCTGAACTGTTTACAGCAAGATGCATGAGCTGTTCCCAACGGGCAACTAGAAACCTGATCAACATGCCTCATTGTCGTTGTACGAGGTTTTTTTTACAAATTTCAGTGAGATGCGAGTCAAAACAAATGAATTTTGTTGATTGGAAGAAGGACTGAGGAACGCGAAACCGCTTTGATCTGAAGATCCGCGGACGTCACAGGGAGAGCATAGTAACGTGTGTCGGGCAGTGGGGTTGTTGAAGGACGGCTTGGTGGTGCCTCCGACAGCTGCAGGGGACGGAAACATCAGCGGTGGCAGCTCCATAGTCGTCTTCTCGCGTGTATAGATTCGTTGTGTTGTATGTCTTCGTTCACCCAGTTTACTTGAATATTTGAACCAACATGAAAATGTATATATATTCTATGTTTGGACGGTATTTTATCGAAGTCCTAACCCATGATATTAGAGAGATTGAGAGAGAGACTAAATGGGACAGTAAAAGAGACTCAGAGAGATTAGGAATGAGAGAGGGAGACAATCAAACGGTAAGCCAGATAATGTCAACCTCTCTTGATCTTTGAGCAAGTTGTACTTTTGTTGGACGCATGGAAATTATGCTTCAATATTTGTTCTTCACAACGTGTTATATTAAAACATGCATACACTGCACTAACATTAAACTGAATACTGAGTTTCAAATGTTAAGAAAATGACAATGCGTCAATGTTAAAACTGACATGAGTGTGACAAAAATATACAACTACACCGCATCCGCTCTTACACTTGGGTTGATATTTGAGTAGAACAGACTGTTTGTTCACATATCACTCATCTGGCTATTTGTAAAAACACTCATGTAGCATACTGATGAACTGGCTTAATGCACAGTCTATCATTCCGTATACTGACCAGACATGTACTAACTGCTCAGAAAAGTTTAGTTTACCTCTAGTTGAACATGTCAATATATGCAAATCATATACGCATTTAGCATACTGACCTAATGACTTAATGCACAACATGTCATTCTATATAGTGACCAGATATGTATTAACTGCTCAGATATAGTTAGTTTACCTTTAGTCGAAGATGTAATTATGCAAATTGGTACATTTGTATTAAGCACAGCTGCGTGTTCAGTGTATTGACCATGGTCTCATGCAAATACTTATTCAGTATTCTGACAATTTAACCTGTTTTTGTACACTGACCATATCACCAAATACACATATACTCGGTCACCATACTGATCACACATGTATTGTCAAATGCACAAATATTGTACCCAGTTCACCTTCAGAAAAATATTTATGCATATATGTGCACATTAATTAATTGGTTAAGCCCTCATTATGAACAGAAATAACACCCTGTATGTTTGGGAAAACAAGTTGCTGTTCCATTAAAATTTGCTTTGTGTTATGTATATTATTGCGTGAGAATGTCATTGGTTGAACGCACAAACTGAAAAGGAAGATGAATACTAGTGAAAATCCATTCCGTCTCAACCAGCTGTCGTTCAGTCTGACTGTCGTACATGAACAGCTTGTAGTTGTTCCTACTTACCAGGTCTCCTATAACATAACTATTACATGTTCTCTCCACGACACGAACAATGCATGTGTGACTTATCAAATATTAGAATTGGTCTTCAGTAATCATGCTTGTCGCAAGAGGCGACTAACGGGATCGAGTGGTCAGGTTCGCTGACTTGGTTGACACATGGCATCGTATCCCAACTGCGTATAAGGATGCTCATGATGTTGATGACTGGATTGTCTGGTCCAGACTCGATTATTGACAGACCGCCGCCGTATAGCTGGAATATTGCTGAGTTCGGCATTAAACAACAACCAAACCAAACCAAACGTATCAAATAACGTCCAATATAACTCCAGTTTGTAAACTGGAAAAGAAATCTAGCAAAACTACACATCAGCTACGATCTACATTCAGAGGGCCACAAATGTCAAAAAGACTGTGTGATCAGACTGATGACTTCAAACGCTGTTGTCGAACACCTCTAATGTTTTCCAGCACTTCCAGCACTTCCAGCTTCGGTGCCGAAGGTAACATAGAACGCGTTCTTTCTGCAAAGACTTCAATGAGTGTCATGCGTCATTTGCTCTTTGGCTTTGGTTATACCAATCAAACCCGTGAAGATCCGGGTTAGGATTAGTTTTCAGCAACCCATGTGTGTCGTAAGAGGCGGCTAAGGGGGTATGGTGGTCATGCTCGCCGACTTGGTTGAAACATGCCATCGTATCAGAATTGCGTAGATCGTTGCTCATGACGCCAATCACTGGATTGTCTGGTCCAGACTCGAATATTTACAGACCTAGATTGCTGAGTCTGGCGTTAGACAACAAACAGTACAACACTGAAATCTTTAATAAGACTAAAAGAGTAAAATGTTTTTATGATGCTAGACATGTTGAGGACATTCTATGCTTGACGTTTCAGTAACTAAATGATGTCTGATGCAGTTGTCAACTTTCGTACCACATGTATCCGCTCTTATTCAGATAAATACGTGCCATGGGTTTGTGGCAAAGGTCACTGTTGATACAAAATAGTGAAAACCATGTATATTTGATTGTGATTCAGAAACAAATCTTAATGAATTAGCCTTGAGTTTGTCGAAATCGTAAAATCATCGTGATCATTGTTATTTTGGAAATGGTTTTGTGGCTTAAGTTTTTTGACTCTAAGGAAACAACGCTTATTGAGACAGCATCCTTCACAGTACAATAGTCTAAATTGAGGAACCATTGGTATTATGCCTTTAATTGATATGTATGCCTTCCCAAAATTGGCCGCCAATAAAGCATCACCTGCAGTAGTGAAGGTTCACGCATTAATCAAATAATATCATATGTACATTTTTACGTCACACTACTTATCTTCCATATGTATAAATTCCAACATGAAGTATGCATACATATATACGAACATTTGCTTATCAACTGATGTATATACGTTGAATATATTATGTTGTGTCCCAGTTAATAAGTGATGCTGAAACACATAAAGCAGTTAATCAATTTTATGGCTGGTATATTTTTCCATTCAATGGTTCGTGAGGCAATTGTAGAATATGACAAGTACAAAGCCCCAGTGATGTCATATCATTAATATCACGATTATATATTGCCAGTGTCCATCCCTAATCGTTTGAAGACGAAACATTACTTAGAAACACAGCGTATTGATGGTACACATTAGATCTCAAAGCAGCAAGACTTGCTTGTGGACATCCCCCAAACACAAACTATTCATATCTGTATTCCATCAGTAAAGACAGTGCTGACGCCCCTGTTAGTTAATCAAACATTCATTGTAATCTTCACACTGGGCTTTGCACAACTGGGTTATTGGTTCTGCAGAGATGATACAGCATTGCTTCAGTGAACAAATCATGAGGCAACGTCCATGGCAACTGGGCATTCAAAACACTATAAAACACTATTATGTCATATTTACATCATTAGATACCACCGAGCTTCTCATTACCGATCGCCGTCTTAACAATCCGAATTTAAATAATGCATAAAATATTCGACTGTTTTGTGTTATAGCCCGCATGATCTCAAATAAAGCGCATCAAAAATACGCGACTTAACACATCGCTTTAATGAGCATGAATAAAATTATTATCAGCTGAAAAGTCTGAATAAGCTGTTATAATTGGAATGTGCTTAACAATAGCATTTATTTCTAATCGAAAGAAAATGAATCTTTAATGTACCTTTGTTATCGCTAAATCAAATATGTTTTATGGTATACACCCTTCATTTATTCCCTCGGTTCGAACAAACGAGCATTGTCTTCTGTCACTTGAGTGAACGGTCTGCAATGATTATGGTACGATTCATCAACCTAAATCATTAAATAAACACCGTTGATGCTCTGTCCAACCGTTGCCTAGGATTACATTAATGTATTCCTGATCAATGGTCAATGATTTAGCCGGGGTTTGTCTATTGGTACCCATTATCAACTAAATTAAAGCTTGCGCGCATGCCCAGGTCTCGGTCTGTAGAACTAACGGCGCGCTCCAGTTGGATAACAAGCACGTTCTACAGGTACAGTTCACAGCTGGTTGCAATCAGGATAGTGCGTAGTTAGAGGGACATCCAGATAGGAGGACTGTTCAGGTACGTCAAATTATTTGTATCTTTTCAAACATTACGTACATTAATCAACAAATCAACACTCATGAACATACTTGTTAAATACCTCACGAGTTACAGGCACGACAAAATACATTTAAAAATGCTTCGTACAAAAGCTTCACATTACCACTCAAACTTTTTCAACGGAATACATTCTCCGTATTCATTTATTCTTTTCAGTATTTATCTTTCCAACTGTGTTAAAGTATAAAATCGATGTTTCAATTTCAATATAGGTTTCAACACAAACAAAATAAGGAAAAATCATTGTGGTACAGTCGTTTCTATCATTATATGCACATTATTAAGAAAAACCCAGTCACCGCCTTGTGTCGCATTATCCTATGGTTAGATGTAACTACTCCCTGGCATGTAAGCTACCAGCGTCCGATATACCTTCACTGTCAACAGCTTCATATTGATAATCGACCTCAGTAGGTCGATCCGGCGTTGTCGGCTGTTGCCTCTTAAAGCCTTTTAAGTCGATGTTAGACCAAACGCCTCTTTCACCCTTTAGAAAAACAAACGCCAAAAGCAACACTGTATTGTTTTGCGCATGCGTTCAGCCGACGGTAACTGGCTTCGTGTGTTTACTATTACTCTTGTAACTCCTTATGAAAATGTCGACGGGTTTACGAGTTGTTGTGTAGCGCAAACAAGTATTCGTCAATTGTAACCTATCAAATATTCATTGTGGGTGCATGTTTGCTGAGTGAATGCAAAAAATATCAATCATTTTAAGCATTTTGTTTCAATGAGTTTGTAGTGGCATAACTGTGCTTCACATATATCGTTTTCAACAATAATTATCGATTAACAATCTAAATACAATGAGGAAATTAATTTTTCGTTGTTTGTACATTTGTAGACACTGGAGCAGTATGACGAGTACAATACGTGCCTAAATCTAGTCGACCAGGGTCTTCATTTCTTCAAATGAACTTAATAAGAAATAAACAATTTACACCTGGAATCCTTTTTGTTAATTGGATGAAATGTAGTATGGGTAAATGCCAACACCTCGTTGTCATACTAAACTTTGATACCTTGTTCCAAGCTTCTAATTAACGTTGGGGCGTTGGGGTAGCCTAGTGGTTAAAGCGTCCGCTCGTCACGCCGAAGACCGGGGTTCGATTCCCCACATGGGTACAACCAATTATGACGCCAAATCCTTTTTCATATTTTCTCAGCACAGTTAATATATGCACAACACGATGGCAATAACGAGGAAGGTGTCACTCGAAAACAAAAAGTTTTCCTTTGGGCGATTTGCCCTATCGATCAGGTGTTTCCACCAGAAGAACCACCTCCGTCACACGATCACCCTGATTTCGTTAGTGATAACTGACACTGGACATAGCTCTTCACTTAACGGTTTTATTCGGCACCTTTTTTCCCAAGACACTGGATTACGATGATAATGGAATTGTCTTTTTGAGCAGCTTCTTACAGAAGTGAGCGAGTGATGTTTTATGCATGCAAACAGTCTCCCAGAAATCTTACCAAGAACGAACACCAACGACTAGTTACTATAATGGATAGTTATCACCCAGAGAATAGGTTTCGGATGTGTTTCAGCTTGTTTGTTGTTCAATGAGACATTCAACAATATGTTTGCAAATATTCCAGGCTGGACGTGCCAACCAGTGGTAGATATTAAGAATAGCGTACCACGTAGGGGCACGTTGACGCGTTCGTCACCATTTACCTATTCAGTTGCCTATTTCGGCAAACATATGTTGTCCAGCTCTAAATTTCCATGGTTTGTCGCTGTGACCATCAAACGCTTTAACCTTCAGGTACGCCCGGGAGTCCATTTATAACTTGTCGGCAGCCTCAGCAGCTCATAATAACATGTTAATAACATGACAAAACCTGCTTCGAATACCCAACAATATGTCATATTTAGAGTACTAACATGAAATTTAAGCAACATCTCAAACATGTTCACAAGCACTTGTCGGCAAGAGACAGTTTTTACTTCATCAATGCGTACATGTTTTATCAATTTTACATTTTGTTGTTCACGTTTTTTCATGTTTTTAAAGTAATCCCAAAGTACTTTAAGCGTCTGTTCGTCATCCAATTGCAAAAGGTCTTTGTTGTAGTTCAACCATTATCTCATGTCTCCTGTTGGAGTAGTGTGTAAAGCGGCCCTCTGGGTCAATCACGCACTCTAAGTGAAGTCATAGATTTGTATTTCGTCTTACTCCTGCACAGTCTAAGAACTGCTTTTCTGTTTCGACGTCATAATCATGGGCTCATTGTGATTGCGTTGCTCAACATCCGGTTGTTCTTGTGCTGCACAAAACGTATATGTTCATGTGTTGCTCTTCTTGCACATGTTCATGCGTTGCTCTTCTTGCACATGTTCATGCGTTGCTCTTCTTGCATATGTTCATGTGTTGCTCTTCTTGCACATGTTCATGTGTGGCACAATATGCATATGTTCATGTGTTGTAAAGTCATAGATTTGTATTTCGCTTTTCTCCTGCCCAATTTCTCTTCTTGCACATGTTCATGTGTTGCTCTTCTTGCATATTTTCATGCGTTGCTCTTCTTGCATATGTTCATGCGTTGCTCTTCTTGCACATGTTCATGTGTTGCTCTTCTTGCACATGTTCATGCGTTGCTCTTCTTGCACATGTTTATGTGTTGCTCTTCTTGAACATGTTCATGTGTTGCTCTTCTTGCATGTATTCAAGTGTTGCTCTTTTGGCACATGTTCATGTATTGCTCTTCTTGCATATATCCATGTGTTGCTATTCATGCACATGTTCATGTGTTGCTCTTCTTCCATATCTCCATGCGTTCCTCTTCACGCATGTATTTATGTGCTGCGCATTATGCACATGGCCATGTGTTGCTACTTCACGTACTAGTTTATGTCCATATGCTGTTCATCATGCATATTTGTCTTATGTTATCTGAGAAACAACAGCTACCAGTAGCGATAAAGAGATATGTATCCGTGTTTCTGCAATCATTACTCGGAATGATTCCACCAAAATAAGGAAAGAGTATTTCAATGCTGCGCGTGAAACTAATGCATATTGACCGGCTTCTTTGCAACAGACTCGTGTATGCATTGTGCGAAAATGAACCCCGAGGTATTCAAAGTTGGGATAAAGCTTTCGGAATGTCTCGTGACTGAGCGAAAACCTACGGGATCGTTCTTAATAACCTTTGTGATCAATCGTGCTAAACGGGAATCAAACAAAGATGGTCATTAGTTGAAACATGGGGCTCAATATTTTCAGACGATGCAGGGCTGAGTCAGCTGATGTGATGCTTTCAGCAGTTTTACAACACAAAAGGTTTGACATTGTCACCGTTTAGAGAATTGAACTCTTCCAGGCTAACAATGGAAATATTTGACTACTCTGCATACCTGTCCCTCAGCTCAAGGGAATAACTGAATAATGAATCATACATTACCTACAAAAGCACGCTCGTTTACACTAGCCGGTCTCACTAGGAGGGAAAGGGGTTAGTGTATTTGGCCATATTCAAACAAGACATGTTGATGATGTGTCCTGGAGTCTTCTTCTCCCAAACCCGGATTTAATTTCCCACATTCCAGAAATATCCTGATTTAAAACGGCTCAATTACAACTTGTACTGACTGAGTTTAGTTTTACGCCGCTTTTAGCAATATTCCAGCATCATCACGGCGGGGGACACCAGAAATGGGCTTCACACATTGTACCCATGTGGGAATTCGAACCCGGGTCTTCGGCGTGACGAGCCAACGCTTTAACCACTAGGCTACCCCACCGCCCCTACAACTTGTAGTAGTGAGTAAGGTTTTACGCAGAATTCAGCAATACAATCAACTTCACGGCGGGGTTGGGGGTGGTGTACGGGGCTGGGTGTTGATGGGACGAGGGGCAAATGCTAGAGCAAATGAAATGGGCTTCACACATTGTACACGTGTGGGGAATCGAACCCATGTCTTCGGCGAGACGAGTGAACGATTTAACCACTGGGCTACCCAATTGCCTCACAATAGGCAGTGTAAATGAAGGCCATATATACGGGACAAAATAAGTTATTATTGATATTTTATCAGTGTGTCAATGAATAAATAGATCATTATTCATAATTTCAAAATTAACGTATATCCCTAACTATTTTTGTCCAGTATACATTTTAAAACGTATCACGTACAATTGTCTAAATTATACATGCTTTAGTGTCGCACTGATTTTACAGAGTGTGCGATTTCCCGACTGAGACTGAAGTAAATACGTGCATTCTTACACGAGTTTTGTGAACTCAGTATCACACATATACAAGTATAATATAATTTCTCTAAAACCCACAATTTCGTAAACCTCTTAGACTGATCTTGATTCGATTCCCCACATGGGTACAATGTGTGAAACCCATTTCTGGTGTCCCCAGATATTGCTGGAATATCGCTAAAAGCGGCGTCAAACTAAAAACTCACTCACTCACTCATTTTGGGCTGGCTTTTCTCTCACACAAAGCCGACAGTAACTCACTCATTTAGTACTCTTGCTGTGTCTCTCTTTTCATGTGACAAAGATACAACTTGAAGTGTTAATATCCCTAAGGCTGCGGCGCTTTGATTTATAACAGTACAAAGCACACTGTGCTGATGTGGTCCGTGTTAAACGGAAATTCCAACTGAGGACATCAATTCAGTTTTCAAGTTAAGAACTTTGAATGTCACTTTTTTTACGAATTAATCTATTGTCTAAATCTTACTTGGTTTAACAAAACAAACACTATTTTTACAATTTTTTTGACTGCACCGTTTCGAAATGCTTACAAGACTAAATGAAACAGAGTTATATGTAGAACTTGAACGTGAATAGATCGATACGTGATCAGGTTTCGGATATTGTACAACGGAAATGAAGGCAATGGACACCCTTGTATCCTAAACAAACAGGCAGAATCAAGTCAGGACTGAGTGGAAGGAAATCCAAACATTTCTGAAGATGATCAAAAGA